AAAAAAAAAAAAAAAAAAAAAAAAAACCACTTTAAAAAAGAAAGAAAAAAAGAGGGGACCACCACGGGTGCATCACATATATGGAAATACCTATCCGCCAACCAGGAGCGGTATTAGTGCACTCCAGATGCAGCCGAACTCCACCAATCCAGGCTGCCAAAGGGGAGACAGAGAAAAGGGGGATTAAATAAGAAATACCCAGTTTATGTCATTCACACACAAATCCAGGAGGCATACAAAAGTAACCACTTACCTTCACAAAACACAGGGGTAGAAATGCGACATAGTAGGCACTGAAGAGGGAGTTGAAGAGAACTTCCTTGATTCTGTGGTTGAAATCGGCTTTCAGACACTCTACTTCATTGCGAATGAGGTCTGGAGATAGGGGGCAGCTGTGGGTGGGGATGGGCGTGGCATTATTAAACTGTTCTTTTAGAGACTCCAGCAATAAGGAGAGAAAGTCTTTGGATTTGGCCAAGCCACCCACAGTTGAGGCACTCTCTTCTACCGCCTGGTGCTGAACCATGTAGTTATAGTCTGTGAGAAGAAGATGAGCTCTACTATCTTGGTGGAAACAGCAGAGAGGAACATAAACACCAAACCTGTAGAAAAAGGTAAATATGAAAAAAGGACCACAGATGCCCCTAAGATCAAATCTGATAACTATGTTAGTAAAATAGTCATGATTCACCAGTGTGAATGTAACAGGGACTTTGCTGTGGTAAATTCATTACTGGGGAAGTCCTTTAATTTCTTCCCATAAAGGCAATATACATTCATTGTAGAATAACAGAAGACTACAGAAAATCACGACAAAATACAAAACACCTAAAAAATAATCGGTTTTATAATTTTTACAACTGGGTGCACAGACTTCATGCTTGCTTTTTTTTATATGTTAAGCCTCATACAGCAAAAACTTTTGTATATATATATTTTTAAGTTTATTTATTTATTAGCATGTGAGCAGGGGAGGGGCAGAGAGAGAAAGGGCGAGAGAAAGAATCCCAAGCAGGCTCCACGCCAATGCAGGGCTTGAACACATGAACCATGAAAAGAAATTACCTGAGCCGAAATCAGATTTAGTGATTGAGTGACTTAGCCACCTAGATGCCCCTGTATCTTGTTTTAACTGAGTGGGTGATTATGTGTGAGTGTATATTTTGAGCATTTTTCCATGTAATTAATATTTTTTCTACAACAATTTTTAAAGATAACTATAGTGTTCTCATACAGATGTACCATAATTTACCTATTTCTTGTTGGAAACTTAGGCTGTTTCTTATTTTGCATTACCATAAATATCAATATATGGATAAGCACTTTCCTACATGATCTTTGTGTACCTCTGGTAATTTTTTTTTCTTTTTTTAATGTTTATTTATTTTTGAGAGAGAGCGAGCGAGCACGAGAGTGGGAGAGGGGCAGAGAGAGAGGGAGACACAGAAACTGAAGCACACTCCAAGCTCTGAGCTATCAGCACAGAGCCTGATGTGGGGCTCGAACTCAAAAACCATGAGATCATGACCTGAGCTGAAGTCAGATGCTCAACCGACTGAGCCACCCAGGTGCCAAATTGCAGACTGTTCACTTCAAACTACCCCCGTTTTTTTTAAATGTTTATTTATTTTTGAGAGAGAGAGAGAGCGCGCGCGAGAGAGACAGAGTGCGAGCAGAAGAGGGGCAGAGAGAGAGAGGCAGACAGAATTTCAAGCGGACTCCAGGCTCTGAGCTGTCAGCACAGAGCCCGATGTGGGGCTCGAACTCATGAACCATGAGATCATGACCTGAGCCAAAGTCAGACACTTAACTGACTGAGCCACCCAGGCACCCCTCAAACTTCCCCTTCTTAGTGAGGGGCTCCCTGCCTCCTGACTATATTACCCATCTTGATCCTACAGGCACTCCTAGGTCCCCTTGCCTGGTTATTTTTCTTCACAGATCTTTCTACTCCATCTATTTTACATGTGTATTAGGTTTTTTATTTGTTATTTTTTCTCTTGGTCTATCTCCCTCACTACAATATAAGTTCCGTGAACCGGCGATTTTGGTCTGCTTAATTCACTACTATATCCTTGATGTGTAGAAAAGTGACTGAAATATACTAGGAACTCAGTAAGTATCTAATGAATTAATGAAAAAAAATTCTATAAATACAATAAATAAATCTCTACAAGTAGAGTAACTTGATTAAAGGCCTGAATATTTTGAGACTTTTCATAACTTCTTATAGTTATTTCACCCTTGGCTCTTTAAAACTTAAAAAAATTCTTTCCCCAGTCTTTATTAAGTAACGTCCACATTGTGACTTACGCATTGTAAATAAAATACTCAATTTGCTGGCATAAGTTCAGATATGGAAAATAGCACATAAAAAGATATCCTATTTAGTTATGTATTTTATAAAAAATTAACAAATTCACCTGTTCATAGTTTTCTACAGTGGGAAAAAAAATGAGCTTGTTACTAAGTAAGAAGATGGTTAACAACTTCTTACTAAGTAAGAAGGTGTGTATATGCCCTGTGGGAAGGAATAAACGCAGAAGTAACAGAACTCACACGTGCAAAACTGTGAAGGCCAGAGAAGCCTGTAAGTTCAATACTGCCGAAACAAACTGCACATGTAAAGATGGGATAAGAGGCTACGGTGCAAGGCAGACTGCAGTGATGGCCCCATTTCTTAACCCTTCTTTGTAGTCTCACCACATAGCCCTCTGTGTGTGAAGTGATCCTGCCCTATACCCGCAATGGGCTCTACAATGTGATCTGTTCTGGCCCAAGGAATGTCAGTAGACATGCTGTGATCAGAAGCTTAAAATGGATCTGATCAATTTCATGTGTCCATGTCTAGCCTGCCAGAGCATGAGAGACCCATGGAGCAAAACTGAGTTGTCCTAGTTACTTAAACTGACAGCCAGTCAATCCAACAAATGTGACTAAACATAGCTAAGATCAGGACAGCTTCCAGATTTCCGGATGACCCCAACACATGCACGATCAATATATACTGTGGTATGCTACCATGGTTTTGCAGTTGTTTGTTACAGCATTATATGGCAATAGATAACTGATCCAGGGTAGAATGAGAGAAACTCATAGGATGAGAGAAAGGTAACATCAAAAGCTTAGACTATGGAGGGCTCTCTGTAAGGTAAAGGGGGTAAAGGAAATGATTTATTAAAGAATTTTAAAGAAGGTTAGTAACATGATTCAACTTTCATTTTGAAAATCATTATAGCTACAGTGAAAAATGGAAAGGAGGAGGGCAAGAATGGATTACCAGAAGACCAGATGGAGGTTTAGAATATAATAGCAGAGGTTACAGGGAGCAGTGGACAGATTCTTTTTTTTTTTTTTTTTTAATTTTTAATTTTTTTAAAATGTTATTATTATTTTTTAAATATAATTTATTGTCAACTTGGCTAACATACAGTGTGCTCTTCGTTTTAGGGGTAGATTCCTGTGATTCATTGCTTACATACAACACCCAGTGCTCATCCCAACAAGTGCCCTCCTCAATGCCTATCATCCATTTTCCCCTCTCCCCCATCCCCCTGGATAGATTTAAAATAAATGTAAGAGCTACAACTGTTAGTCATTGGACTAACTTACCCTAAACTGAGAAACTAGCTGAGAATCATATTAAAAAAAAAAAAAAAAAGGGCAGAAAAGAGTCCCTTTCTTTTTTAATCTATGAATAAACAAGAAAATAAAGATGTGATTATTGCCATTATCTAGTATTTTATATTTCGCATACTTAATTTTTAAATTGAAGTTAAATAAAAGATTATACAACTTTTAAAAATTGAAGAAAGTAAATATATTTAAATATAAACTGTTTAAATTACACGCTTATTTCACTCTGTTGCAGGAGTGTGGAGAGCCTTCAAAAATTAATAAGCTTCGGGGCGCCTGGGTGGCGCAGTCGGTTAAGCGTCCGA